ATGATTGGAATGTTTCTTGTCTTGGTGTGCTGGCCGGTCTTTGGAGCCTCTACAGAGAGGTGACCATTGTTGTCAAGCTGGGTGTGCACAGCATCCAAATCGCAGTCCTCAGGTAGAGCCCATCTATGGACGAAGTTCCTAAACAGAATTTTCATATTCTCATCGCTGAAGAGGGAGCTGAACGGGTAATTCATTACTCACTTCTTCATGTAGCCGTGCTCAGTCTTCACTTCCTGATGACCCTCAATAGTAAGGTCACGACCGTCCAGCTGAACCTTCAGTTCCTCCGGCTTGAAGTGGGACACATCCAACGCAACGGAAAACTTCTTGTCGTCATTGATCATCTGAGATGAAATGAACATACAGAAGTAGCCCAACCGAGCACTCCCGGCACTTTTACCTCTTTGGTCTGATTTCCCACGTGGAGCATCGAATGGTCAGCATCTCTCCAGTAGGGCATCATGTCCTGAGCCATCCAATCCATATCACGAATTGGGCAATAGCGACCCATTCGCCTGAACGGCTCCTCCATCATGCGTTCAACACGGTCGATGGGCCACAGTGCCATTATTCTGGTTAGTTGCTCTGAAATACGAGGTCCCTTTGCTATGTTCAAAAAGAACGAGTACTAAGAGCTCAAGCTAACATCCGATACATAATTATAACAGAGAAGAAAAGCCACGAGACCATAGAGAAAGCACGCCAATCAAACCAAAGACAAGAAACGAACTGAATGAAGAGCTGACGATTGTCGTGCTTTTATGGGCCCACGGAAGGTTCCAGAAAAAGAGAATCGGCGGGAAACGCTACGATCTGAAATGATCTCCAATCAGCACGAATTGTCGAATAGATTTTACTACTAACTAAATATGAGACATTTAATTCTTTTACAGTACAGAGTAGTTGTACAGTTCATAGGGAAGCAGCCTGAGCTGCATCCCAATATAGTGCAGGTCTATACAGAAATTATTTTAAATCAGTTGTTGTAGTCGATGAAATTGGATGGCAGAGTGATCAGAGAGATCAGTTATTCCTAGATCGATTCTTTCCTAGAGTCTAGGCGACCACACCTTTTCAGCTTTGGTGTTCTACCAGCTGCGAATTACTTTTGTCTTTTGTTGGAAACTGGTTATGAATTAACTTTGCTACTACAATGTTATCTGGTCGTCTTGGTACTCCGGATTGCTCTCTTATGGCTCTGCTGCTCTATCACCTGCGATAAGACCATTTTTCTCGAGAAGAGAATTCTCTTTGACCAAACCTTTTTGCTACCCTCTCGAGGAGACGTGGGAAAGTACTTGTCAAGCGATGTGAAGGTTAAGCCTTCCTGATATTCGGAATGACGCTCACGATTATTGATCGGTGGTTGTGGATCCACTTTCCCAGATCGATTAGTTAATAGGATTTGAACTCTTCATCAAAGCTGTTCTGAATCCAGCTGCTCTTTTGTAGGTCGCTAACAATTCAGATACTTCAGGAGAATGCGGGTCCCTATTTATCCAAAGTTTCCTCCAAACGGAACAAATGCTCATTTTCCTTCCTTAGGAGTTTTCTGCGCTTCAATCCACGTGGGAAAGAGGTCTTCGACAACTTTTCATCAATTATATTTGAAAATACGTTGTAGACTAAGGCTAACGAATCCTTCTTCCAAGAGGAAAGGTAGAAAACGATCTGTCGCTAGTGACGGGAGCCATATTGATCGTTTGGGCGCAGCTGACTATGACACCTTTGTTATACTCTGAAGGCCAATAAACAAAAAAAACAAGTCGTAGTTGAGATTTTGAATTCCTGTAAATTTTAAAAGCAAACACCAAAAAGTAGTGTGCACGTACTGCAAGATTGCAAGCGATACTACCTGTATGGCACATGTACTACTTTCAATGAACAGCCAAGTTCTGCAACTTCCGAAGACCTGCAACCAGCACGATAATCGATTTGCGCTCGCGCGCTGTGTACAATTTGAACAAGGATTGGTGAGATCCCTTTCTGTTGGAAGCAGAAGCCACCTGTTGAAGTGGTGGAAAATGTTTATTCATAAAAACATAACAACAGCATTGAGAGTAAAATATCCAGTAAAAAAAACAAAAAACAGCTTCGAGAGTAAGTTAATTCCGAGATCTATTTTCTGAATACAACGGAAAAGGAATGTCAAAAGGACATACAGTTGCCAATGCAAGTGTATAACATAGCTGCAGTTCCTCACTCAACCTACTGGTAAAATCCAACTTTAAAACATGAAATTGTAAAGGATGTTTAAGGAGGTGTAGTTGCTCTTTCGACTCACTGACAAAATACAACTTTCGAATATAAAAATAGAAAAAATGTCTGATGAAGATGCAGTTAATCTCTTTGTTAAACCTACTGGTATCTATAGGTACGATCCAACATTCAGAAGTAATATGTAGAGGATGCCCAAAGAAGAGGCAATTGCTCGTTTTGCCATGATTCGAAGGAGCTAGTGACGCTGAAAATTCGACAGTCTAGATTTACTGAAATGATCGCAAACTTACTTTTCAGTATTAAGTAATGAGTAGACCACAAAAAGTCATCCCCAGCATAGGAGCCGCACGCAAACTTTTGACCGCGTTATAACGGCGTGTGCGTGTGCTGCCTGTGATTGGATAATACCACTAAAGAACCAATCACAACCGTACATTTCATTTTACTTCAAATCTTTTAATCTTTACTTTGATCAAAATAAAAGATGAAATACCTGTCCCTTCTTAGTCTTCGATGGTCCAGCTTTCGAACGTTTATGACCATCAGCTGCAATAGTATAATTAAGTGTACAAAGAATGGCAGCATTGAATAAAATACATTGACAAATTAGATTCAAGAAGTAAATTTGATAATACTTTGGTGAATTTCTCAGTAAGTTTGTTATAATTATTTCCCATTCTTTATATCTGCAGTGTTTATAGCACGGGCAATTGCCTCGACTTGTCATGGGCGGTAGTATCTGCCAGCTTACTCATTTGTACACATCTAACTGCACTAACTCAACCAATAACTGGGCATAACTTACTTTCAACCTTTCCTTCTACTTTCTTTTTTTCAGAACTCTTATCCTGGTTGAATCTCTTCTTGTTTCCTTTACGTGTCTTTTCAGCTGAAAAGTGAAAAGATAGGGCAATAAGAAAACAGCTTGACAAGTCAAGTTTGGGCAAGGGAATTTCTGACACTTACTTTTGAACTTTTCTTCCATTTTATTTTTCTCAGGAATGTCCTGCTTGCCATTCTTCTTTCCCTGGCGTGGTTTTTTAGCTGGAAATTGAAGAGAAGGGGATAGTAAAAAACAGCTTGACATGTAAGTCTGAGCAAAAGTATTCTTGGCACTTACTTTCAAACTTTTTCTTCAAATTCTCTTTCTCAGATACATCCTGGCTAAGGCTCTTCTTCTTTCCTTTGCTTCCTTTTTCAGCTGAAAATTGAGAAGATAGGGTAATAAGAAAACAGCTTGACAAGTCAGGTTTGAGCAATGCAGTTTCTGACACTCACTTTCGAACTTTTCTTCCATTTTATTTTTCCCAGAAATGTCCTGTTCGCCACCCTTCTTTCCCTGGCGTGGTTTTTTAGCTGGAAATCGAAGAGATGCGGATAAAACAGCTTGACACGTTAGGTTTGAGCAGAAGAATTCTTGGGACTTACTTCCAAGCACTTCCACTAAATCCCCAAACACTTCCTCTAAATTCTCTTTCTCAAATACGTCCTGGCTAGGACTCTTCTTGTTTCTCTTTCGTGTTTTTTCAGCTGCAAATTGAGAAGATAGGGAAAGTAAGAAAACTTCCTGGTAAGTTAAGTTTGAGCAAAGGAATTCCTAGCACGTAGTTAAACTTCTACATTGCTTTTTTAGTATTATTTCTCTCGCTTTGCAACTGTTCATATGCAACTGAGCTCCTCAATGCACAGCAGTTTCATTAGCTTGCAAACAACATTAATTTAATTAATAAATTTCCAATGATAAGAATAACTTACTGTTCGGCTCTTGTACTTTTGCCACAGTGTAGACAAAGGTCGTCCTGACGAGCGCGGGAAAGCTGTACTGAAATGAAACAAATAAACAAGTATGGTTAAGGAAAGCCATACATTTTCTAAGAAAGTTAACTTCACCTACAGTTACCTAATTACCTGGCTTACCAGTTTCTTATGGTTTATTTCGAAGACATTGCAATCTAGAGAGATAGGAAAACGTACACGATACTTCGGCTGATTTGTAGAATCCGTACCGAAGGGCATGGGATTCAGAACATCAGGTGGCATCATCAGTTCCATAGGCACCGTGTTCATGCCATTGGGATCAGTAGTATCACTGTTGGGTGTGTTTGACATTCTGAAACAGTCATGAATATAGACCTTAGGCAAAGCAATATCCCGAAGGGAATTCATTCGAAAAATCGAAGAGTGAAATCAGATTATGAGCGGATTTCGAGAGATGGTATAGGCGGATGCGCTTCGTTGCGCGCGTCTGTCGAAGGTAGGTCACGCCGCAGCCGTCGCACGCGACGTGTCAGCCCGCGATTTTTGAGAAACGTCGAAGTGGGCGGGGTGACCTACTTTCGATGGACGCGCGCAACGGACGTTCTCCGGTCCAGGCGGGTAAGTGTACATTCGTGCAATTCAAACTGCACGCGGCAAATTGCGCGGCGAAATTCGTGGCGATTCGAACGAGTCTGGCGCCTATACTTGGGGCACAAACTTGAAATAAAGTAGATCAGTGTTGTTAGCAGATCTACTATTCTACTCTACTTCAAATTTGGGCCTCAGTAATAGGCGCTTATGTCGCCAAAATCGCTATGAATTTCACCGCGCGCCCTTCGAATCGCACGAATGTACCCTCCCCCGGCCCAGGCAGCGTAACGGGTGCGCTTCGTTCCGCGCGTCCGTCGAAATTAGGTCAGGCGCGCGGCGCGTCGCCTGCGATTCTTGACGGACGTCGCAGCTGTCAGTGGGCACACGATTTGTGCTAGGCCTAGTCAGCTTAAAGGGAGTGTGACACGAGCCAGTGCAAATCATTCGCTTCACTGACACTTGGTGGCACTGTAATGCCATCTCAAGACCGCAGTAGCCTGCACCGCGCACGAAATAGGCGGGGTGACGTAGTTTTGACGGACGCGGACAAACCTTCGAATGAAAACCCCTGAAGCAGAAATATTCCTAAGTGCGGAAGGTTTTGTTCACCCCCTTCACCCTCGCTAGGAAAGCAACTGCTAAATTCCGGTGATAAACCAACTCTTCCGGTATACAGGAAAGGCTAGTGAGCAATGGCGGGCGGCCACTCTGGAATTTTCCCTGTACTCTGCTTCTCGAACGCTAGCTGCTAGAGTCAGAGAAGGAGGGGACGTCGGTTTCGCAGGCCTGTAGTGAAGCCTAGATACGATTCTGAGCCACAAATTCGGTTTGTTTTCGGCCCATCCTAAGGAAGGGAAGAGCTGTGGTGTGAGTGAAATCCCGATCACATTGAAAACGTTGGGATGAAAGAGAACCCTGCTAGTTTTTCCCTACCTCACTGAGAGAATGCAGAAAAGGAAGTGAAAACCAATGACTCTATCCAACTGTTTTTGCCTAGCACATGGAGAAACATAAAGCAGTTTAAGGTGATCCAAATTAAAATGAGGAAATGGAACGTGTGGTTCGCTGGTGGACGAAATATTCACCCAATTCTAGGAGGACGCGGCAAACTGGGATCCGGGGGTATGTGTACGAACGTGCGTCCGAGGATGCGCGCAGCAAATTGCGCGGCGAAGTGCGTAATGATTTGAACAACTTCGGCGCCTATCATTGGGGCCCAAATTTGAAACAGAGTGGATTAGAAGGATCATCGGACCCTATAAACCACAATACTTCGAGTTTGTGCCCCGAAAATTGGCGCCGCAGAAGTACAAATCGTCACGAACTTCGCCGCGCAATTTGCCGCGCGCACCCTCGGACGCACGTTCGTACCGCCCCCCGGGATCCGGAACTGGGTGAATGTACCCATACCCAACAAGCTGAGTGTGACTATCTGTGTATCTGTGTATTTA